CCAATCGCCCCTTGAGCCTTGATTCAGTCTCCGCCGCCATGGAGAGCAACAAGCTCCTCGAACCCTTGGAGCCTGGCCAAAGCGCCGATTTCACTGTGACTCTGAAGGCCCCGAGCCGGGTCGGTACTGCCATCTCGTATTGGCGCTTGAAGCTCACCAATGGCATGCCCTTCGGTCATAGACTTTGGTGTGATATTCAGGTACGCGACCACATGGCTACGTCCACCAAGCTGGAGCCTGTAGAGGAGGCTCCTCGCGAACCTGAGCAACAGGTAGAGGCGCCCCCGGTCGATGACACTGAACGCACGGGGAGTCAAATGATCTTCCCTACCCTGGACAAGGAGTCACCGGTCGGGAGCACTCACCAGGCAATGATTGCAGCTCCTTTGACTGCCCCTTCCGTGTCCAATCCGTCTGAACAAGATGTTCTGGAGGATGTGGAGAGTTTGACCTTGGACGATGCCAACACCGAGACCGGGTTCCTGACCGACGAAGAGTACGATGTCCTGGATGCCAGCGACCAAGACTACTTGGAAGCCCAATCGCAGGTCTAATGTCAGTGTCTGCATGCTTTGGGCCTGCTAGCGAGGCCCTTGTTTTTACCTCGACCATATGGGCGTAATGGGCGGGAACGGCGAAGGATGCATGGATCAAACTTCTCATCTCTCTTCAATATTATTGTCAAGCCAATAATTTGATGTGTTTTCTATATCTGCCTCGAGACTTAAGGCTAGGGATCGGTGAGCTTGACCATCATCCCCAATCATCCTCCGGGTTGAAAGACGTGCCAAAACAATCACGCGCAATGAGGCGATGCTGCAACATTTTTGGGAATTTGATTATTTCAAAGGGGCTATTCAAAGGGGCTATTCAAAGAATGAACGGAATGGAACAACCGGGGTTACTCTTCTCATTTGCTGTGTTTATTTGTGCTCAGTCTTATTAACAAGATAATTTCTCCAACTGTCGCCTCAAATGTTGTAGTCATGGAATCTCCTTCTGTCGACACTGGCATCGTTCGACGATAACCAAGCTCATGGCTCCCTAGATATCGAGACTGTGAAGCTGTACTCGGTTCTGTCCGGCAATTCAACCCGTTTTGTTGGGCTGTGAGCCTCGGTCAAACTCCTCCCCCGCCACAGTTAGCTATTACTGGGGTACTTTGACTCCATACTCCCTCCATAGCTCCAACGACGATCTTCGGTTTCTCCTCTCCCCTCTCTGATGAAGATCCATTTATCCATGACTGACCGACCAATCGAAAGACCCCCAATCCACGGATCTATCCAGAATGCGGCCATGTTAGCACTCATCACTGCGGAGTAGGTGATACGGAGTACTGGTCCCTCCTGCTCCTGCCCCTGCCCCCGCCCTCCTGCAGTGTGAACAGGCAGAGCTATCACATTCTCAGTTATGGTCTCTTTTCTCCTCCTCGTTGTCTGCTTGCATCCTCCCATTTCATGAGAGAAAAGACAGACACGAACCTTATCACAACCATCTGTCTGCTCACAATATCCAAAGATCTAACCAACAGGCAAACCAGTACGGAGAAAAGCGACAACGAGACCGTGTCGTTACACCATGGCAGGCTCCGTTAGTATTGCTCTTCTTGCCGTGCTGACCGCAACTCTGTATGGCCCTGTGTATCGGCAGCTCACCAACCTGGGGGTCTTCCGGCATCCCGCGCCTCTGGTGATTGTTGAAGGACAGGGTTACCACAAGATTGCCGATACGATGCAATGCGAGGATATGCATTACTGGCAGCCTACGAACAAAATATTTGCAGCATGTGAGGATTCGGTCTTGCCTCGCTTCAAGTGGTTCCCTCCGTTGGCGAACCTTGAGCAACCGGCTATCCCATCTACCGGCTCACTTCATGTCATTGATCCCAAGGTACTGCTCTCTTCCTGTCAAATAGGCTTGGGTTATCACGTTGACCTGTTGGTTAGACAATGGAGTCAACCCGGCTGGCATTTGAGAATTTCTCAGGTCCATTTGTGACCCATGGAATCGACGTCATCGAGGACCCGGAGAATCCCAATGCTGTGTATATCTTTGCTGTGAACCATCTGCCGAATCCGGAATTTACACAGGCCGGGAAAGATATTCCTAAGGCGCGATCTCAAGTCGAGCTCTTCCACCATGTTTTGGAATCGAGCACTGCCGAACATGTTCGTTCCATTCGTCACCCGTTGATCGCTACACCCAACGACATATATGCAGAGAGTCCGAACTCTTTCTACGCGACCAATGATCATTACTACCGGGAGGGATACAAACGCATGATTGAGGATCTTGTCCCCGCAGCCAAGTGGTCGAGCATCATCCAGGTACAGATCCACGATCTGAAGTCGAAGGACGCAGACAAAGGTATCGACGCCACGGTGGCTTTGACAGGGTTACACAACAATAATGGACTTGGCCATGGTAAATCTAAGGACGAGATGCTCATCGTCAGTTGCATGGGAGGAACTCTGTATCGCGCTCGTCCAAACAGTGGCAACCACACGATATCTATCTTCGATGAGATTCATCCAGGGGGCCAAATTGACAATCCCACTTACTACTCGGATCCGTATCGTACTGCTGCAGACGATGCCAGCGGTTACGTTGTGGCGGGAATGACGCGTCCGATTGATCTGCCGAAACACCACGCTGATCCGAACGGTAAAGATGGAGCCATTGTATGGCATGTGCGGCCTAAACCAGGCACGAACGGGGATGGAGAGGAATCCACCGAGTGGGAGTCGCGCGTTCTTTTCGAGGATGATGGCACTCTCATCCGGACTGCAAGCACGGCGCTCTTGGTTCCCATTGCAACTGAACCTGGAGAGGGAAAGAAAGCATGGTTGTTTGTGACCGGGTTCGTCTCAGAGAGCGTTATTGCCATTGAGGTTGACCTTTGAAGCAAGTCTTGTCTACATCGATAACTCAGAATTATCCCTGGTGTTGATGACCAGAATGATAGTCATAGGTGACAGTACATCTGCATCCCTAAACGTAGCGAGACTTCGCAATAGCTTTCAAAGTAATACGTAACATAGGTCGGTCGTAATCTAAGATCTCATAGCCTAGAGAAGTTATTGTCGACGTGATGATGAATGATGCCTTGCAGCCGTGGTGCCTGAACAATATTCTGCCTTATGCCTGAGGCACCCATTGTTTCCATCTGTCAACATTCGGATCGTCACCGTCTGTAGGATCTCAAGCACTTCAATATTTTCGCCACTTCCTTCCTCAATCCTGTCAGCATGCCTCTCCTCTGAGATGCTTTAATGATGCCATCCACCTTTTCAACTCACACAGCCCTGCGGACGCGGGGCAATTGCCCAGCCATCACCTCCATGGCATCATCCCTGGTTCAGCACCGACAGCTCCGGTATCAACCTGCCGCCATTCGCAATTGCTATAGCCTTTTGACTCGCGGCTACGCCAGCCCATCATCCTCCCCGAAATCACATACGCGACCCCCGTCGTCTGCCCAGCCGGCTCCCCCCATTGTTCCGTCCACCTCTTCAACGGCGACCACCTCTCTCGCCAACGATGTCAACCCTCCCCCGAGCACCCGGCCAGCAGACCTCAACCTCCCAGAGCCTGTGTCAGCGTCCGCCGGACCGGCCGACAAGCTGAAACGCTACGTCGCGCTGGGCCGCGCCTACCTCTCCTTCTACAAGACGGGCCTCAAAAACGTCTACCACAACTACCGCGCCTCGCTCCCCCTCCGCCGCTCTCTGGGTCTACCCGCCTACCTCCCCATCTCGCCTCCCCCAGCACCCTCCACCACCTCCTCGTCCAAGCCCAACAGCACGGCCACACCCTTCCGCGCAGCCGTGCAACCCCAACGCCTCAGCCGCGCCAACTTCCAGCTCGTCCGCCGCGCCGCCTACGACGTCCGCCGCATGATCCCCTTCACCCTCATCCTGATCGTCTGCGGCGAGATGACCCCGCTCGCCGTCCTGGCCCTCGGCAACGCCGTCACCCCTTTCACCTGCCGCGTCCCCCAGCAGATCAAGAAGGAGCGGCTGCAGCGCGCGGCCCGGAAACGCGCCGCCCTCGCCGCCCACCAGGCGCAGTCGCGAGGCTCCGTGACGGGCCCCGCGGCCGGCTCGGACGCCGAGCTCGAGCTGTTGTCGCGCGACTTTGCACACCCGGTCTGGGTCGAGCATGCCTCGGCCGAGGAGATCCTGCGGGCGTGCGCGGCCTTGGGGCTTGTTCGGACGCATACCCGGCCCCCCGCGCTGGTGGCCTGGTTGTATCGGCCGCGACTGCGGCGGTATGTGGAGTACCTGGCGCTGGATGATGAGTTGATCCGGCAGGGGGGAGGGGTCCCGGCGATGGAGGCGGCGGAGGTCAGGATTGCGGTCGAGGAGCGAGGGGGCGTGGGCGTTGCGGACGGCAAGGAGGGTTGGGAGGCAGAGAGGGAGGAGAGACGGTGGTTGGAACGATGGCTGGAAAGGGCTTAAGGCTCGCAAGTGTATTTCTTAATGTATGGTTACTTGGGATTGAAGACCTCTGGCGCATGACATGGACTAGAAGTGAAGACGTCTTAGCGGTTCGTGATTATTCACAGATCGAATGACACACCCATGGTTCTCATGGCTTGATTGGTTTCTATGGAAAATAATTATCCGAGAACAAAGTTGTAGGTTAGAGTTGCCCATTAAGTGTCGTAACTTTTCGGCTGCTTCTGTTTCTTCCAGCCGTTTCGCCCAGAAAACACGTGTGTTATACTGTACACTCATCATGAATAAGTCACATCCATTGCGCCGGTAAAGCATCCCACTTCGTGCCCAAACCCAGCCAATTCGAATTAAATAACGTAGTCGTTATATATAGCCGATCCACGCCTGTGCCTGCTGAAAAATCCATCCCCTGGTTGAAAGACCATCCGCTGGTAAGACCAGCGCACAAAAGTCAAGAAAACGAAACCAGTCAGAACGCTTGAAATCGAGGTTCGTCATAAACGCGTGAGATAAGAACAAACTGTAAGCAGAAGTAGTCTAAGTGGCTCGGATTTTCTGCGACGCAGCCTGTGCCGCGTTGCGGACCTGCTTGGCCCAGCGCAGACCACAGCTGTTGCAAAGATCGCGGTTACCACTGGGACCTCGACGCCATTCCGGCGTGGTCCGGGTCTGGCACATCGCGCAGCTCTTTTCGACGGGAACAGTGCTCTGCTTCCTCTTACGCTTCTTCCTCCGCGCAAGAAGGCGCTGAACCTCGTCGGACAGAATACGATTCTGTTTCTCCAGTTCGCGGAGCTCAAATTGCCAGCTCGAACCGCGTGTCGGGTTCAACTCGGTGAAGAGCATCGGTTCGCCAACAGTCGGCACGTATTGATTACCGGATGGCAACGAGTTGGAGCCCCCCAGTGCCGACATGTCGTACGTCGGTTGGTCCGCCGCAGTGCCGTCTCCCCTTCCAATCACGCTCGTGTCCCCGGAAAGCGCAGCGGTGATATCCGCAGGTGCAACATCTTCCGTCCCGGAAGCAGTCTGCGGTGATTTGGGAAAGCGCAGCTGCGCGACCAAGAATGAAGGTTTCTCCCCTGCCTTGGTGTCTCCAGGGTACAAGGTGGTCTGGGCCTGCAACATGTGACCCTTCTTGTGCCGGATTTTATGGTTAAAGCTCGTCTGCTGGCCAGTCCGAGCCACCTCCAAAGCCTGTTGAGCGTCCAGCCGGGCATCGACTGAGATCAGGTCCTGAATACTTTTACCGACCAGATCATCGGGCACTCGGCCGAGCACTGGCCGAGCCTTTGAGGACATGAAGAGAATGATGCCAGAGATCGAGAGCTTGGCCCACAGATCGTTCTCGGCTAACCCGCCGTCGCCAATCTTTGCGATCTGGTCCAGGTGATAGACGGGGCAGACCCGGCCGGTCATCACCATATATTGCCGGCCGCGCTCGCCGATGTGCCACGAGCCGTGACTTTCGAACCACACGTACCCGCTGTACTTTGTCCGGATCCGGTACATCACACTGACTGGGTCAGAGTTGGTGCAGGATCGGAGGTCGCGTATGACAGGACCGATATCGCTGGGATGGCAGATCGTCGAGAGTGTCTTGCCTATCAACTCGTATGATTCGTACTCGAGGGCCTTCCGACAGGACGGAGATAGGTACAAAAATTCACCGTCGAAAGAGAGCACGTGAATGACGTCATCGGTATTCTCGACGAGAACGCGGTCCAGATACTGCTGGTAGCTCTGGTCGGAAGTGCCCAAGTTGTCCAGTATCGTCGAGACCTGGTCGGGACCGAAGTAGGTGGCAAGGTCCGGATGCATCCGATAGATGTCCGGGGGCGGCACCACGTAATTAGGCAGTTGATTGCGCTGGTAGTTAATCATGTAAGTACCATCTGTCACATTTGGTCAGTCTAGGTCATCCAAGGCAAACGAGAGCATCTGAAACATACTTGGATTCCTTCTTGTGATGGCATCGGGCTTCTCCACGAGGTCGACCTGAAACCCGACGTAGAATCGGTAATCAGGTGAATTCCATCGGACAGGAATCATTGTGATTAGATTCATAAAGGGCTGGCCGCCCTTTCTGTAGTTAATGATGGTGGCCTGGATTTCTCCACGGTCCTCGATCGTAGACCGCAATCGAAATGCGGTACGCTGATCGACGAACTTCCGGGGCATGCCCTGCTGGACCAGACCAGTTGGGTCCTGAAGAAACCGACAGTTCTGGCCAACAATCTCCTCCTCAGTGTAACCGGTCAGCCGCACAAAGGCCTCCGATACATAAATGATAGGATTATCCTCCTGGTGGATGTCGCACAATGCAAATGCACATGACAAATCAACAGCGCCGATATTAATCTTGGGGTCGGGTCTTGAAACAACCTCAGCCTGGCTGAAGTTAGATTGTGCATATGGTATCACCCAAGCCGTCGGACTGGCAAGATGGAATGGACTTACCAGTATGCTCATCATATCAATGCCGCTGCTCGAATATATGCTGTTATAAGGAGTGACCTCACCCGTGCTCGCCGACTTGATGGAATCTGGGAATTTTTCCATGTCAGTCTATGTTCTATTTCACGTGCAACATGTAACACAGTAAGAAGAAGAAGAAGATGCACCTTTCATGGGCGATGGCCTCTTGGGCTGAATGTAACGGTGGGAAGAAACTTGTGTCGCAGGGGCTTGAAAATCCTGGCGTCGCCTGTGCGGTAACTGCTGGCTTCGTGACGATTCTGTCGATTTCGAAACGTTGGAGGATGATCTGTTGGCCATGGTCGTGGCTTCGGCCGTAGGGGTGGCATCAGCCGAGGATGTCCAGTAGGGGTTTCTGCTCGATGCATGCGCTTGCGAGGTAGAGTAGGATGCAGTTGGGTCTAGGCTCAGATTCTGGTTCTGAAACGAAGGACGCTGAGGCATCGGCTGCCTACTGAAGGTCTGTTCGAACATCGAGGAGGGTTGAGGATATACAGAAGAAGGGTCGTAGGCAAATGCACCTGCTGTGTCCAGTGCCATGGGCATGGAGCTCCCGATGCCAAAGAGCGGATCATACGCGAACAACGTGTTGGACAGTCGGTCGGCCAACTGCGCAGTGGTCGCGGGCAGACTGGACGAGGTAGAAGGGAGCAGCTCGTCGGCTGGCACGCTGCCCGACAGCATGTCTGATCCATGAGACTGGGAGAAAGGGAAGTCCCCCATTCGGAGGGGATCCGAAGGCGCAAAGGTCATCATCTCGGCGTTGGTACGATCAAAGGCAGGATGAGAGTTGTTGGACTGGCTACTCGAGGTCGAGGGAGCCATGGAGAATGGGGTAGTGCCGTAGTAGGCGTCATTATTGTAGTTGTTGGCCATCTCGAGTCGTGAGGCGACGTTCGATCGATTCGATGAGGGTTGTTCTGGCCAATGGGCGGATCGCATCTAACACAGCGGAGATGTCTTAAAGATAGCCCACGACGGTAGACATTCCTCCAGGGGGCAATGATTGGTAGGAAGGCCCCCTGTAAGTGAATCCAGAAGTTTCCGCCTGAGTCAAGAAGCCGAAGGTTCGACTGTACAGAGGAGTAGATATGGGATGATTAGAGTAGGAGGAGGTGAAACTGTGGAGTTGCTGGGAGTAGGCACTAAAAGCAGGAAGCGGAGTCCGACTCAGAAGAGGGGGCAGATGCAGTGAGACTGACTGGTTAGCAGATTCAGGGTATAATTAATAGCAAGAATGACTAAATGGATTGAAAACAAGCGACACCGCCGAATATTATTTACCTTGAAGGTCACAAACAGGAGGAGACTTGGCTATAGTAGTGACAGCACAGAAAGGAGGAGGAGGAGGAGAGGGAGGAGAGAAAAGATATGAAAGACGAAGAAACTCCAGAGCACCTAAGAGATGAAGCGACCGTCAAGACGAAATTATCATTGCTGGATGGACGGGAGTAGACTCCGTGCGATTTCATCGAATACGGAGCAATCCAGGAGATTGAGAGGCAAGTACATAGGATTCATTTTGTTGAAGCAATTTGGAGCATCAACTGAATCTATCCAATCTCCAATGGCCAGTCACTGATCAACTTGACGTATCGAATCCGAGCGTGACTGATCAATTGGGGACTGTGGAGGCAAAAGGGGCTCATTGCGCATGTACAGTAGTTATGGATAAATGCTGAGAGGAAACAAGATGTCGGAACTCTGGGGGAATCAATTGAGGCTGTAACCTACCGCAAGGACAGAGGATGTACTACAGCTGCACTCCATATCCATCTTCTTCTTGCACGATCAACCCCAGATTATCCATATCATCTTATTGAGTAGAATATAACAGCAATCCTTTTCCCCCTTAACATCGATATTATAGTTCTGATCCCTGATAAGATAGTGGAAATTGCAAATGGCCATCAAATACCGAAAGGGGCACCGTTGCGGCGTCGCGCCGTCTCTGGCGGCCTCTCCTTTTGATCGCTCGTCTCAGGAGTCAATGTCCCTGTATCTTGTTGGGCATATTGCAACAAAAGAAGCTTCAATGTGAATATTCACTCGGTTTCGGCTCTCGCTCAATCACCAACCTATAGAGTTCGCAATTGTAAACAAGCACATCTTCTACTGATACAGAAAAATCCTGCATCCATTTCAGCATACAATGCAAGACCCAATGGAAGACGAGCCAGACAAAATCTCCATTACGATCTGCGGCGATGGTGGATGCGGTATGTCTTTCCGTTTCCTTGCCAGTGAAGATTTCTGCGATTCTCTCGCTGTGACAGCTTCCACTGTCGACAAAGGTTGACACTGATCTGCCGTGGTTGTTAGGGAAATCGTCCATCACTTTGCGACTGGTGCGGAGCCAATGGGTCCACGAGTGAGTATATCCCCTTGCGAACAATCACAACGTGCAAGATAAAGGACTGACACATGGCGAACCAATCTCAAAAGATATGACCCTACCATCGGTAAAGCAGTACCCGTACCCTGGATTTCAATTCTCCTGTCGTCGTCGACGCGTGACTTTCTCTAACATCCATGGCGATTTCTCGGAGAACCAATAGAAGATTCATATTCGGTAACACGCGTGATCGATGGCCGTCCCTATTTCTTATCTATCACCGATACTGCCGGCCAGGAGGAGTATAGAGGGCTGTTTGCGCTGTCCAACCTGAGGTCGGACGCGTTTCTGCTCGTCTACGACATCACCAATGCATCGAGCTTAAGCGCATTGGATTACTTCATGGATCTGATTGATATCGAGGCTGAGCAACGCGCGGAAGACAATGCTCGCTTATTGAAGGAACTGGGGGACAGCGCACGCGGCGTGGAAGTCGGCATGCCTCCTCCAGTCAAGATCGTCGCTGGCAACAAGTGCGACCTCAAGGAGAGTCGCGTCGTCGGTGCTAGGGAGGGGCTGGAATATGCCCGCAAGCATGGTTGCGGGTTCATGGAGACAAGCGCGAGAGATATGGTGAACATTGAAGAGACATTTGCCCGTATGTAACTTCCATGTGAGACGACCTATTGATCTGACACGATCGCAGTCATCGTCCGTCGTGTTATCGAAGCTCGTCGACTACATTACGAGCAGAACCAGGCGACGGCGAATCCTGGTCAAGCCACGACGTCTGCAACTGCGCAACAACCTGCCGCACAGACGGCCGATGAGACGATTGCCGCTAAGCCATCCAAAGATGCGCGGTCGCGGCGCAGTCGTCTCTCAATCTTTGGAACTAAGAGCAGTAAGCGTGCTGCACCGAAGCCAGAAGCTCATACTGGCGAGTCCAACGGCGAAGCGATAGTATCGAAAGAGGAGCCCGGCAAACCAAATATATGGAGACGCCTGCTTTGCTGCTGATTTGACATCAATTATCGGTTCGAATGTATCATCATCAGATATCCTTCTTTTCTTTCTCTCTCTCTTCTTATCTTCTGTTTTCTTATTCCTAGGATCCACCTGTTTGACCGACGATGCTTTTCCATTCTTGATCGTGTATTCGTGATAAACTTCGTGGACATATTCCCGCCATTTCTTTGCAACTTTGTACAGTGTTGATAGGCCAAATGGACTTGATGATTGCGGCAATACAGCATCGTCACGAAAGAATGAAGTCAGCGTGGTAGATCAATCAATCAGCCTCGGCATAAGCAGCGGTAATCGCTTAAGACTAGGGAGTCAAGCTTATTCCCTGTGTGACTGTCATGCAACTCGAGCGATTTCCACCCACGGTGGGTCAACGGTGGTTCCATTCGAAATAGGTCGACCTACATAGAGTTGAGGGGACGAGATATGCACCTTGAGTCCAGCCAATTATGGTCTCTGTTCATCATAAACTATCTGACATCAACGTTCGATAAGATAATTGTAAAGCGATAGTCGCATGAGTAAGGCCAGCGAGGTCAGTGGCAATTGAATAACAGGATACGCACATGATGAGATATCAAAGAGAAGATGTCCGAATCATTGATCATCAATGATTGCAAGCTTAAACTCTATCTCATGGATATCATGGACATGTGGCGCAAACATGAAGTCAGCACTCAGCACTCGGTAGTTTAGTAGGTGTAGAGTACTCCGTAAGAGATTCATTCTAGTGATGAATGAATGGGTCACCAGATGCAATGGGCTGTTTCTAAATTCTAAGTAGGTTCTAGGTTGGTCCTCTACGGAGTACCTTCAAAATACTGAATAATCCTATGCTCATAGTTCATGGACTGTAAGGGGCATTGGCGAATCATCATTATCGGTCATGACATGATCTGTGATGGGACTCCCATGTCAACGTCATTGACTGGAGATAACACGGCTTTGATTCCCGTGAGAAAGAACTAGATGGGCAATAGAACAATAATAGAATGGAACATATCATGATTAGGTAGAGGTCAAGCTAGAAGAAACCTCGGGGAGAAGGTTGATTGATCATCAGAGGTCTCATGCATGATTTAACCCCATGTTTCGTACATTGTGTAATAATATCATACTTTCAAATTGTGCTCGCAATGAAGTACATACTACAACGGACTACAGAGTCCTTACAGGGATTAGAGCCGGTCTGCCGCTAAGCTTTTAATGAGGAGAGGAGTAGTATCCGAATAATAATAATATCCAGCTGAGAACTCGTGACTCTGAACCGATGATTCAGCGGAAGACACATAGTATTAGTTCGTTAACTAATGCTGATCGCCGAGTGAAGACGATCGGCAGCCATGTGCCGCGAAGAATACTCGAGAAAAAGAACCCGCTTATGTGCACTTGTAGATAATAATGTTGTTATGTTTATGCATCCATTATTATCCATATGAGAGCCTGCGAGGTACCTACGAAGATAGCATGCTGCAATATTGATACAAGAGCGCTTGATGTACCTAAGGTAGTACTATGATCATGACACAGTCAAGCATCATCATGATCGGTAAACTGATCCTGTCTCCTTTTACAACAGGACTCAAAGTCGATTTATTTCCTGACACTTGCTTTCTGCACCATTGTTATCTGATAATAGTGCTGATGATCAGCCAGTCACGGATATACGGGATTGCTTTTACTATGCAACTTCCGAAAACTTTGTCTGACTACTAAGAGAGGGAAAAAAAAAAAAAAAAAAAAAGAGAGAGAGACGAGCAAATTCCTGTAAGAGGAAATTTGAAATCAAGGAAACATTTGCCCGTGACATCTCCGAGGCCCGATTCAAGTCTCCGGTTCCGAATACTGTATCATAAACGGTTACCGGCTGTCTTGTACCAGAAATTTCTGCTGTGTAAGGTAAGGCGTATCAGCACTACATTCCATATTCCTCGCACCAAGTTTTCCTAGCTTGATTGCTCATGTAGATGAAGGTGCAGAATAGCTTTGGTCATTCTAAGTGTTTTGATGCCTGAATCAAATATCAATACTGAGGCAAGTGTGAATAGTACTTAGCATGCATGGATGGCTACTCTGTACAAGACTTTGCACAATACATAATACAACAACCTTGGACGTTCCCGAGCCACATCTACCTGGTAATACCAGTACTGCAAAGTTCAAGGATCCCGAACACAACTAGCCTAGATCCATTTTTCCCTCTTTGGGCATACTGGGCCCTGCTGGGTCTCTTGGTCCTTGGAGTCTTGGGCAATGCGTCAATTAGAACGGATACAACTAACTAGATACTCCTGGAGATGCTCGATGCAGCTTCGGGATGATTACTGGTACCTTCGAAGCTAATAGGTAGGTAATCACAAAAAGTAAATATTACTCATTCCCTTAGAATTTTCGAATAACCAAGAAATATCTCAAGGAAATATTAATCATAATATCCCTAATAATAATAATCATCATCAGAATCTAGTTAAAAGCTGTCGGTCCTCCCTCCTTCATAGCTCTTCTACTCGATTAG